CATCATCATCATCATCATCATCACCAGAGATCATCCACAGTAGCATCACCCTCAGCAGACATCCTTCCAGTCATCATAAGTGGACATCATTATTACCACCATCATCACCATCATCAAATATATCATCACCACCATCATCATCACTACTCAACATCATCAGTAGACATCATCATCAGCAGCATCAACAACCGTAACCATCAACACCATCAGTCATCATCATTGTCGCCATCATTCTTATCATTACCACCAACTACAACAATATCAAATATAACGACTCTTTTGTGTTACCTTATAGAAAGATCCTGGGGGTGACAGACAGTACGTCGCAAAGGTAAAACTTGACCATGGAAGATTCTGTGCCCCATCAACAGATACCTAAAAATAACACCGAATAGATTCGATAACATAGCTCTTCATAGTTCTACCCCTCCTATAAGCACTACCCAACGTTTCTCGATTATTTTCTTTATAGACCCGTTACATGTGACGCCAAAGCAGCTCAATAGCTGTTTTATTACAGTTGAGCCTGCAATATTATATTCTTTTGCTTTAAGAACCATACAATTGAGGCTATCGGGTCGATACRATGCTTGTTGTCTCATTTTTATCTCATCTCATTTGCATGCATCCATAATAATTGCTATTTGGAGGACAAAAAAAAAATTCAATCTTATGACCTGAGAATTGGAAACCTATTGTTATGTTATCCAAATTGAGCTGCATTCTGACGTGCTGCAAGGGGTCTATTAGTCGTGTATACCTTGAGTCCGTGTAACTGGTGATACAAAGCAACATAATTCAAATTGAAATCTTCAGGAGCAGCATCTATACTGCGTGTTAGCTGGGTCTGAAATTGTAATGATATGATAATGATTTATGATTTATATATCGCCCTTTATATATGGATATAATCAAAGGCGCTTTACATTGAATGAAAGATTGAATGACAGATTGCTTTTATGCAATTTACAAGCATGAGAGATGGTTAGTATGAAGTGTAGGAACTGAGGGTGGTCACTGCCAGGGATTCTTTACGTCCTCAGTGGTTCTTTTACGTCCCTCCAAAGTTGGTTAGTAATGATGAAGTGTGGAGAATGCAAAGTGATTAATGCCATGATCACCCAGCTTGCGCTTTTATGTCTATTAGTTTTGCTGTGCTGT